AGAGAGAGAGAGAGAGAGAGAGAGAGGGAGAGAGTTAGAGAGAGAGAGAGAGAGAGAGAGTGAGTAGGAGTGAGTGAGAGGGAGGGAGAGAGAGAGAGAGAGAGAGATATATATAGAGAGAAAGAAAGAGAGAGTCAGTTCTCTGTAATTGCTCGTCTCTGTTCGTGTGCAGCTCGTCTGTAGTTTCATGTTGAGTCGTGTTTGATTCTTTCACTGAAGTTTTCATGCCACAGCAGAAGCTTTACGGACACACAAAACTAGAAACGGTAAGAGATTTCTATCCCTTCTGAAACTCATGTTTTATTGTTATGAATAATGAGGAGCTCTGTAGACTCAGATTCTATAGAGGAGATACATGTGCACTTGTGTGTGTGTTTGCTTTTGTAAGTACTCATTCTAGTTTGTATTGAATGTTTTTTTATTGTTTTATTAGACAGGAACGATACAGAATAACACTGCTGGATAATTTCGAGCAGCTCTTTAGACGCCTCTAATTGTAATTCCAGCACATCTCTCTGCTTAATATTTAACTAAGAACCAAAGACCAATTCAGAACACAGTGAAACTATGAATGTACAGAAAATTAAACACACACACTCACAGTAAAATAGCCATAAACCCAAATTAATAGTATTTGTCTGATTTTAGTCTCTTCCCAGGTGAAAAAAGTGCACTTCCATAATGTACTTAAAGTGCTGTATTTTCTGTTCAGTTAGCACTTGTAGTACACTTGAACCCATCTTTCATATAAGTGTACTACAAGCGGTAAATAAATACATTTCTTAAATACAGTGACAGTATGTTAAAAGCACATTTTATGTCATTTTCATGGTGTCCCAAAATAACACAGTTGAGTACACTTAGATGATCTTACGTTTATCTTAAGAAGTACTAAAGAATCATTTTTAGTATATTAAGTACAAAACTAGTGTGTGAAAATAGAGCACTTTAAGTAGATTGTGGAAATGCACTTTTGTCACCTGGGTTTCTGAACTTTGTGAAATTGTGAACAAATCAAATGTCAAGTATGAGTCAGTTCAATCATGACAACTCTGAAGATTTCAGCATGGTGATGGATATGACAATGTTAATGTATTTGGTCTTGGCGGAACAGACCTGCTACGCTGCTGCTGTTGGTTATTGCTGTAGTTGTAGATTATTGCTGCTGCTGCAAGTACAGGAACTCGCTACTGCCAATGCATAGGAGTATTTAAGACATACTCGGATGACTTAAAGATTTGCTGGTAATTTACTCACCTTCAGGCCATCCAAGATGAAGATGAGTTTGTTTCTTCAGTGGAACAGTAAAAAAGATATTTAGCTGAGACTGCAATTCTTGGTGATTCATAAAATGCAGGTCAGTGGCTGCAGACACTCTGAGAGTCAGAATTAATTCACACAGAATGAATCCCCGTGGCTCCTGGTGATATACTGAGATCTTATGAAGAGAAACTATCAGCCTGTGCAACAAACTGAACATTATTTACAGTATTATTACCTGTAATACATACGTTCAGTTTCTTGCACAGACTGATCATTTTGCTTCATATGACCTCAATATATTGCCGATGCCCTGGGGATTCATTCTGTGTGAATTAATTCAGACTCTCAGAGTGTCTGCAGCCACTGGCCCACATTTTATGAATCACCAAGGATCGCAGTTTCAGCCGTCAGATTTTAGTTGGTTTGGTGAGCTGATGATGCTCTTGTGTTTTCAGGACTGAAGTGATGGACCCAAACCAAGCAGTTCTACCATCCCGTGTCCGTTCCACTTTCTCCGGCACGATCGGCTTTCACAAAACAACTCCTGCTCAGTTTTCTGACGCTCAGGTTCTCTGTTACGATGAGCTGAACTCCACAGCGTCTCATCACTGAGAGCAAAAAGAAGTTTGCTGGAGAACCATGGCGCTAGGTGCTGTGACCTCCAGTGTGTCCACGTTCACTCTCACGAGCGCCTACCAAGACTATCACTGCAACGAAGTCCTCCAGCGGCACTATAACCACACCGGCAAACTGGAACAGAACCGGTACAGAGACGGACTGAAACCAGAATCCATCGCCTGTCTGTTCATCTGCCTCCTCATCGTCGTGGAGAACTCGGTCGTCCTCATGGCCATCTGGAAGAACAAGAAGTTCCACATGCCCATGTACTACCTGCTGGGTAACCTGACGCTGTCGGACCTGCTGGCCGGATTCACCTACATGCTGAACATCGTGCTGTCGGGTCCGAACACGCTGAAGCTGACGCCTCTGCTGTGGTTTCTGAGGGAGGGCGGCGTCTTCATCACGCTATCAGCATCTGTCATCAGTCTGCTGGCCATCGCCATCGAGCGCTACTTCACCATGCTCAACACCAAGCCCTACCACCGTGCCAAACGCAACCGCATGTTCGCTCTGATCGCCGCCAGCTGGGCCCTGTCGCTGTTGCTAGGCGCTCTGCCTATTATGGGCTGGAACTGTCTGCATGATCTGGAGTGGTGCTCCACCGTCCTGCCGCTCTACGCCAAGAGCTACATCTTCTTCTGCGTGTTTGTGTTCCTGACCGTCCTGCTGGCCATCGTCCTTCTGTATGCACGCATCTTTCACTTCGTCAAGTCCAACACGCAGAACCCGAGCTGCGTTCAGCGCAAACCCTACGGCCATCGCTCGCTGAAGTACATGGCTCTGCTGAAGACCGTCACCATCGTGGTGGGAGTGTTTATCGTGTGCTGGATGCCGCTGTTCGTGCTCTTGCTGATGGACTTCGTGTGTCCCGTGAAGACGTGTCCTGTTCTCTTCAAGGCTGAATACTTCCTGGGAGTGGCCATGTTTAATTCCCTCATTAACCCCATCATTTACACGCTGACGAGCAGAGACATGCGCAGGGCTATTCTGAAGCTGCTCTGCCGCCGCTGCCTGATGACCAAAGACGGCCGCGTGAGGAAGATCGGTGTCCGCATCAGCTTCACGAAGACAGACGTGAACCCCCAGGGACTGGAGACGACCATCTCGTCCGGGAACGGCATCACCTTACCCATCAAATCCATCTACCCCAAACTCAAGCTCTCAGTCATCACATAAGCGCAAGCAGAGATCCTGAGCACATCTGTGGCCCTGGAGCACAAAAGCAGTCATAAGTCGCTGGGGGATATTTGTAGCAATAGCCAACAATACATTGTATGGGTCACAATTATACATTTTTCTTTTATGCCAAAAATCATTAGGATATTAAGTAAAGATCATGTTCCATGAAGATATTTAGTAAATTTCCTACCGTAAATATATCAAAACTTAATGTTTGATTAGTAATATGCATTGCTAAGAACTTCATTTGGACAACTTTAAAGATGATTTTCTCAATATTTAGATTTTTTTGCACCCTCAGATTCCAGATTTTCAAATAGTTGTATCTCAGACAAATATTGTCCTATCCTAACAAACCATACATCAACAGAAAGCTTATTTATTGTACACAGAGAGAGAGAGAGAAACAAACAAACAAACAAACACACACTCACTCCATGATGCATAAATCTCAGTTTCAAAAATGTACCCTTATGACTGGTTTTGTGGTCCAGGGTCACATTTCAGAGTAATTGTAATTAAAGGCTCGTTCCAGTAACGAACTCTCACACAGCCCAAAAGAGAAACAGTTTGAAACATGACAGTCGCTTTGCTATATGGGCCTCGAATCGAGCTGTCGTGGGCAGAAAGAAGTCTTTGCATAGGTGTTCTTCAGCATTTCAACATTCAGTCCTTTACATGTGAACTGAGTTACATCTGCACAAAGACTCAGAAAGACAAAGACTCAGATATCAGTTCATCAGCCAGAATCAGCTTGAGATCTGAATGCATGCAAAGACTTCAAACAAACATGCACTGAACAGCAGACAGACCTAAAATAGCAACCTTGAGGTTTGGAAAAAGCGCTTTATAAATTTACCTTATTGTTATTATTAAATATGACAGTATATGTCAGTCATTTCTGCTACTGATGAACACACAAACCCTCCACAGATGTGGAGCATCACTGTAAATATTCCACTCTCGTGCTCTTATCGGATGTTAAACCGTGAGCATCTCTTCACACAAAAGCATATTTAAGTTTGTTTGCACAGTTTTCTTTGTACAGAGTAAATGCTTGACATGCTGTTTTTACATGCTTTTGTAAAGCCTGATTGATGCTAAATTATGTTCTTTCTTATCTGATATTAAATATTTTTTTAATATAACTGAGATACAGTGTCTCCTGTACATGCGTTTCACACATAATCCCAATATTATGAAGCTTGAGTCACATGATTATTTTTTCAGTTTCATTTAATTTTGTATTGAATTTTCCTCATCAATATAGGCTATATTTCTCACACTTTTCTCATTCTCACTAATTCAAGTTTTTATGTGTATGAATCTCTGAAGGAAACCGGCTGTCTTCAGAAAAGTTTCAATGGCATTTTCATTTTATCTGATAAAGTAGTGTTTATGAGCCTGCTTTGTTTACAGCCGTTACCGGGGAAACCGCTATATTTCTGATGTTCCAAAAGCGCCTCCTGCTGGCAGAGAATCAATGATCATTTTCAATAATACCGTCTGTGGTTTTTGTTCAGACCAACGTGAAAATCCACCCACACATCCACATTTTAATTTAATTTAATAATTTATACTTCTGACTCATCCCTTTTCTTAAAAATGGTTTATAGGCTCAATTATGATGTTTATCATTTTATAATTTATTTAGTTTTTGTGAAAACCTGTATCTCAACTGTAAATCAATTGCTATTTCATGGTCTACAACAGGAAAGAAAGCCATTATAACATGTACATGACAAATGTAGAAACACTAGACACAACTATGGGGCATCATTGTGCAGCAGCCTGGGGCCCCCAATGCACTAAACCCACCCCTGAACTTAATGTGTTTAAATAATTAGTTTTGTGTTTGGTAGTGATTTCTGTGTGTAGCGTGTCCGGCTGGCGCTGATGCGTGGAGCAGCCTGTGGTTCAGATCTGTGGGAGTTTGC